TTCTTTTCTGTCTTATCATCTGCCAGCTTCTTCACAAGTTTTTGTTGTTGTTCTCAACCTTACAATGGCTGGACATTTTTTCATGCTGTTTACGAATTCGGAAGCTTCAAGCATCTAGAAATTTTACCAAAAAAAAAAAAAAAAAAAAAAGGGAATTAAACCCAAGGGTTGCCCGAGGTTTTTTTTTTTTTTTTTTTTTTTTCTGATATCTGGTCAGATTTCTTTTGATTTTTCTATAATGAAACACAACAAAGCAGTATGTTTGAGATGTTACGTTATGATATTACTGTTGCATTTCAAGTTATCTTCAATATGATTGAAGCTTGCAAGTCTCTGCTTTCCCAAATTGTTTAAAGCCATAGGAATCTTAGAGTATGTGAACTTTTGAGAATTAAAAAAAATATATCTTGCTTCGTTTTTTTTTTAATTAATATAACTAATTGTTTGAATTCTAAAAATCCTAAAACTGTAAACATTTAGTCTGATTAAATATCACGAGAAAAAAATAGGTTGTGTACATATTTATACATTTCATGTAAAAATCTGATTACAGCTACAGTTAACCAACAAGTGTTTATTTCAGTTCAGTCTCAGAGGTATACTGCAGTATTCACACTAATCAAAGAGCCTATTAATGCTAACATGTCAATCATTCCTCACTTTTGTCAGTCTTCACCAGCTCTTCCCTTGCCGTGTCGCCGACTGCAGTGCAAACCGTCAATGTCTTCACGGCAAATTTGGTGGCAGTCTGACCTTTTCTCTTCATAAACAAACACACACACACAAAAATGAATAAGCAAGCAGCATGTTTTCTATACTGACTCTAGATGAAAAGTCAGATGTCATGAACAACAAAATGAATAAAATTATTTTTCATCTTACATGTTTCAAGCAGCTATTATATAAATGCTAAAGATGACAGTTTTTCAGTCTATTTTATTGTTTTAGCTATTTCTCTGTAAATCGATTTAACTAGTTTTTTTGTCTTTTCATTCTAATTTGACCTTCAGTGTTATATTCATATTAGGTACCACTTGAAAAAAAAAGAGTCTAAGCTATCTGTGGGAAGATTGCATAATTTTCTGCATATTTTGGCAATCAAATGAACACAAAGGAAGGAGAGAGAGAGAGAGGCAGAGTACAGGTTCTGTGTGTGCAGCTCTTTCATGAGTAGAATAAGGGAAGCGTGACTAAACCATTTCTTTTTCACCATCTTCTTGGTTTATTTATTCAAGACTCTTTTTCTGAACCTAGATTGTTTTTCCCACAATAGGTAGCAGAGCATCACATTTAACTTTCACCCAAACTTCTTCTCTTATCTCACGACTTCTTCTTGAGCACATGGGAAACTACAGTAAAGGGGGCAAGAGCGCCACCTCTTGACATCCCCAAATATAACAACCGTAATAGACAGAGTTTACGTACAAGATCAATTGCGGGAAGTTGCGTAATAACAGCTCTCCAGGACTTGACTTGTTGACCCCTGAACTAGGCACTATTTTCCACTCTAATGTTAAACCCCTGCTGTCTGCTAGACAAAATGTAAGCAACATAGAAAATTATGTAAATTTTTTCCATCAGGTTTTTCTTTTGTGAAAGTCTGAAGTGAAGTTCATTTTCTTTAAGTGAGCTGTGTCTTTGTTATATTGGTACAGCTTTTACTGAAAGCTGCACAGATTTCTTAGAATACGTGCGTAAGTGTGTGTGTGTGTGTGTGTGTGTTAAAAATGTGTCATCTCAAGATTCGAAAGCCTCATTAAGCTATTCCAAGTAGTTAAAAAAAAAAACAGACTTAACCGTCTATACAGTTAAATACCTTCAGCAGCCAGCATATGGTGTGAATGACTTTCCTTCGAACAGCATGCTGAACAGCTTCAGAGGACTGAGGGAGGACGGTGCTCAACACACCCATGGCTCTCTGGAGAGTAAAGAAGAGTGTTGATATTAGAAAAGAAACTCCTAGAAGATGAAGAAAGAGAAAGGAAAAGCAAAGCAAAAATAAAGGCGATAGAAAAGGGAGTGAAACAAGTCACCTCAGTGCAATTCAACTTCAATATTAAGAAAACTGTTCTGTAAAGACCTCAGAGGCTGTATTATTAGTGAGCAGTCGCATGAGGACTTTGCTGTAGAAATGAAAGAAATGCATTTTTTTACAATCCGAAGTACTTAACAGAAAAAACATAGTTGATTAAATGATGAAGGAAATTTAACCACAAGGACACGGTAAACTAATAAGTCTCGTTTTATTAGTATTACTGGTGTCCTCAAGCTTGGGATCATTCTCTCCGCCTATCAAAAAGGTGTCAAGTAGTCACTATGTTGTTAAATGAGAAAATATGCAAAAGGCTCAAAGAGTGCATTTGCACCACACAGTCAAAGTGTACCACCAATTTTTATTTTGGAGCCATATGTGTAATCCAGTGTGTCATGCAAATGAACCTGTCCAATAACAAAGTTTTCACTCTAAAACCGCTGCATGCATTTCATCCCGATTCCTTAAAGGACAAAATGGCTTACATTTGTAATTTCAAATGTGTTATTTTAGTGAAAAAGTAGACTTTATTCTTGGAAACAGAGGAAACGGACAATCTGAGTTAAACTGTTAAGACAAAGTACATTCTCAATACTGATGACTTAATAAAAACAATTTTAAAAAAGCCTCTAAATCCTTCTACCATAATTACCTTTGCAAAAACTTTGATTTATTATAAAGAAAACATCTTTCTTATGACAAACCAGAGACAGAGTTCCAGCGACATGATAAAGTTACCTCGTTTATCAGATTTCCCGGTAATTCAACTGTAACCTGTTAAAGAAATCCTTATTCTTACGACAGTAGGAAGATATGTAATCAGCTAGGTTTGCAGGGTCGGAGTAGTGTTAATGTGTTTTTAAAAGCGCTTTGAGTCGTTGTTCAGATCCGTTACAGTGACACCACATTTTTTTTGACACTTCTTATCTCGTGCATACACACACGCTTTTTAGATTCTTCTCATCAAAGCTATCTCCTTAATGTAGCAGACAGGGGGAAAACAGCTCTGCTGTGCTTTCATGATAAACCTTCACGGGGAATCAAAGAGAAAAGAAGGTAAATAAAGCGCTGCTCCAGCAGAGGGAAAAGAAATAATGGCGTAAAAAAAATATGTAGGACGTCTTTAATTCATTCTCACTACTCTACAAGAACTAAAGTAACACTTTTGTCAAAGGGGGAGGGCGGGTCAGATAGTTCAACAGGACCACAGGAGAAAAAAAAAAAAAAACATTTGAGAAAACTTTCTATCTCTGATCAACACTAAAATTAAACCCAGCTAATCATCACCCCTATCTACCATCTTCAGACTGCAGATTAATGTTTGTAGAAAGAATAGCCATCTTAAAGTAAAGTTGTAGGATGGAATCCAGCTTCATCCCCGTCACCTGTTGAAATTCCCTTGGGCAAAGCACTTAACCACAAGCTGTCTCCATTTTGACAAATGAATGGGTGTCACTGGATGAATGTTGCTCTGGAGTTAGATGGTTGACTGCAAAAGGTGCAATATGCAGTAATGTCAGACAATATGCCTTTGATAAAAAATAACATTCCTGTAATGAATGAACACAAAAACTGAGACACATGGGTTACCTGAATGAAGGTGAATTTACAAAAGTATGGAACTTTAAAAAAATCCCATGTCCAGTCAGAGGCTTAAATACACAAATTTTAGGAACGAATGTTATTAAATTAGGATTTTAAATATGCATTTGAGCCATTCTTGTATATGGGCATTTACAATTTTCTATCAAAGCCACATTTTAATTATTTTTGATATTTTTTGTTATCCATACAGTAAATTTGTACATTGATCCCCACTAATATTTGGTCAAATGTAACTTGAGAAGTTGCAAAAATGACTGCCATCGCTATGCCTGAATATTTGACCTGTATTGTCAGAATGATGGTTTCCTGACACCAACCAGACTTTTGAAGAAAGTCGACGTTAACCTGCTCTGCCTGTTTCAAAAACACTTCTTACAATATGTGGCTGAGTAGATAATATGCTTCTGTTTCAAATTGTGACACACAGTCATTACAGTATGTGTGTTTGAGATAACTGCCCAACTCTCTCAATGTATTATTAATCTGACACACACTTTTTATTCTGATGAATAGAAATGTGTTAGGAGTTTGAGGAACAACCCAATGTTACTGGACAGAAATGCCATTCCTGCATCAACACTGGCTGAGAGGCACCAATCAGGAAAGAGGTGCTTCCTCTAAAATCACACCTCAAGCACAACTAAAACTTGCATCTGTTACTTGGACAAATTCACCTGACCTCATTTTTATTAGGTTAGGTGAATTTTTATCCATTTTCGGAAAGATTCTTATGTAATTTTTCCTTACAGTTACAATTCCTTCGTCAGCGTTTTCCAGCAGGTCGAGGCAGCAGTCACAGAGCGAAACAGCATGCGCCTTTAAAAGAGGACAAATTTCGTTTTCACACACTGCACCTTTAAATGACTGAAGTCACACGTTACACATTTTATACATGGCCTCTGATTTAGGAGTCAATTTCAGTTATGTGTTAAGATGTACGAATCGGACAACTGAATATGACGCTGTAAAATTTCTTTTTAGAGGTTTATTTTCACTCAGGTGAAAGGCACAGCTGGTTTAAAGGACTAAATATTTGTTGTGTTTTGGTTAGTTGTACTCTGATTTTGAGATAGCCTGGATGTAATTAGATAAATTACAGAAGTATCTTCAACTCCTGGAAGTAGCTTCAACTTTCTAGGTGCGCTGTATGCTTAGACTACACTTGCCTCACTGGTCCAGTGGCTTTTTGCACAAAAATGAAACCAAGTCCTTCATGCTCCTGACTAAGTCATAACAACACTGTTTCTCAAATAAACATCTCTCGAGCTAACTGTCTTACCTGTATAGTCAAGGAAGTGACTGTCGACAGGCTGATAATCAAGCCCAGCATAAGGTGAATAACGTCGTTGTACTCAGATGAACCACACTGCTTCTGCAGAGAAGCAGAGCATAACCTAAAATAACTTTAAAAACACTCACATTAACACTTTGCTGATGTGTTAGATTCTTTTAAGGATCTAAATCTAACACAGTGAACAGCAATTTGCACTTCTCCAAACAATGTTAGCAGATTATAGCTGTGTGCTTACAATAGCAGTGAGGAAGGCTTCCCAACATTCTCGCCGATGAGCGAGGTTTTGACGAATGACTTCATCTTTTGCCAGAAAGCCAACAGCTGATATGAGGGATGTAAGGACCTGTTGATTAGACTTGCTGATGCTTCCCTGTAAAATAATGAGGTAATCCCATTTAATTTTTTACTCGGATAACTATGTATAAAATGAAATTTAAGACAGCAAAGCCTTGCCAGTATTGTCTTGAGTGGAACGACAACAGAATCTGTCGACATATTTCTTAGCTTCAACCGAAATCTGCAAGAAAACAAGAACATTTCTAGCAATTATCTCTTACTGACAGTGGCTGTCTGTTGTCACTGTGAAGTCTTCTCCATGATTTTGAAAGCCATCATCATGGACATTACAGCGCATTTTTCTATTGGTCTTTTATGGTATCCTAACATTTAGACAGTTTTTAATAATATATTACTCTGTTTGTAGTGAATCTACAATAATCAGTGACTTTCGCTGTTTGAACTGAACTACTGAACTTAGCAAGTCTAACTAATGAGATGTAAACCTAATTCCCTACGCAACTGCCTATGTTAAAATCTTTATAAATAAGAGCTCTAGTGCATAAAGATCAGCATTCAAATAGAAAGTGTTTTGTTTTTTGTTTGTTTTTTTCAATGAGCTTTCTACACATCGACAAAATACCTACATTGACTCAGCTCAGTTTCTACAATGGAGGGGACATTTCTTTTGGATACACATTTTATTAAAACCCTCTCTGAGCTACAGTGAAGGAAAACTGATCCACCCATTTTACGGCGGGACAGCTCGACTTATTTCCTGCTGTGTTTGAGAGCCTGAGATGCAACTTTCATGTCTGTTTCCAGCAGATCCCAGAGAGAGAAACAAGTTGAGAACGTCTTCTGTCTTTATGTGGCAATAACACCTAGATGGCACTTGTTGATTTATTAAAAATGCCACACACTGTGTTCCTTTAAGGACTGCTTCTTACCACGAAACAATTTTAAAATGCAGTATAAGGACATAACTTGTGCAGAAAAACAGTTGACTCCTCTTTTTCTAAATATCTGAGATTGCATTGTCAGTACGAGAACTAAGCCAGAGACATCTGATGAGACGTGCAGCATTATTACCCATCTTCGGCAGCAAAGGTTTCCAGAATACAGACTGCTGTGATCCCCTGCTGCCGCTTTGGTTCAGAGATGCACCTCATGAGGTTTCTCACTAACCTTTAAAGAGACAAAGAGACAGGGGATCATACCAAATAATATCTATCCCATATGCAGTTCTCCATAATTAATGTAAAGGGAATTTGCAGGTAATTTTAATGATTGTGAATTTAAATAAACATTCAACTAATTATTCCTGCTTCTTTGAAAAACTAATTAGGTGGCAATGTGCATACAAAGAAAAACCAATAAACGACCAAGCACTGTTATTAGAGAAATAACAGGAAACCTCTTGGAAGGGTAGGAAGTCCAGTACAAAAGCTGGCAATGGTGAACATGTAGCCCAAGGCGAACCTTAATTTCCTTTCACAGACGTCTGAACTGGCCCCTGCACTGCATCTTTGTTTTGTAACAAATACCGTGGCGAGAGGCGTAAACTGATAGGAAGAATAAAAGTCTTACATGTGCAGGTCTAGGTTGTCGATGGCCAAACGTCTGCCATACAAAGTGTTTGAGTACAAACTCAGTAATTCCAGGCATTCCTTCACAACTTCGCCATGGTCTGACGTTAACAGCTGCACAACAGACTGTCTGCCAAGAGGACATTTCATCAGGATCTTCTGGTTTTCTTGAACTGTCGAGAGAAATGAAAATGAAAAACCTGGCTGAGAAATGGGCTTGCCAGAGCTGACAGTTTCTAAATTCGAATGCATAAACATGATGATGTCGCGACATCGGGTGTGTTTCACCTTGAGCAAACCAATCACATTGCTTTGTCCCAGTTATCTCCGAGGCCAAACTTTTCAGTTTTGAAAACTTTAAACTGTATGAAATATAATGTTTATTCAGTTCTGCAAACACAATGTGTTTGCAGAACATATTGAATGGTTTACATTCAATAAACTTCTAGCAGAATCCTCTGTGGAAACATAAATTAAACAGATGAAAAGAATTGCCGACTTCCACTTTCAGGGTTTGTGCACGCAGAATTGGACTTAAACCCTCCTCCATGCCATTTTAAAGACATAAAAGGGTAATGTTATAATAACACTTTAGGATATTTAAATTGTGAGATGCAAAGTAAAGCATCCAGGAATAGGGCACAGGTGTGGATCATTACAATTCTCTGAAACCCCTCAGGTAGAAATTATTTTATTTAATCTTTATATGTAATCAATGTGGATTTAATCAAAAGTTATGGGTGCAGATCTTTAGGTTATAGTCTGAACTCACTGTGGAAATACTGTAAAATAAGATAGGAAAAGTTAAGGTTTCAGGAAAACAGTTCTGGAAACGTGACCTCACGCAGTCGAAATGTGACTTCAATTATTCATTGGCATTGACACAACAAGCCAAACTGAGTACAAAACAGGAAACACCACATAGAAACAAATAATGACTTCACTAAACACTGAAAAGCTGAGAAATCACAGCAAATTACAGGATAATATTTGTATTTCCAATTTATTTAGAGCAATGGAAACTTTTGGGCACCTACCACTTTCATGACAAACGATCTTCCAAAGTTTCAACACTGAAACACACAACTCTTGGCTGAGCAGATCATCCGTTTCCTGCAGCAAGCAGCTGTGAAGAAAACAACTCATATTTCAAGTTTTCCTTCTTATGATTAAATTAACTAATAAAAATTACTTTCAGTCCGGGAAACTCTGCAGAAAGAGTAAAATAATGGGTTCCAGGAAAACTGTTCTGGAAACATGTGACCTCAATGTGAAATGAAACTTAAGTTCTGCACCAGTTTCCGCTGAATATCTAATCATTGGACATTTTTAACATCATGGCAGTGACAGATCATGGAATAGCTGGAAGAAATATTGAATATGGCCTCATCTGTTATGTTTTGATTGCTTTTGACTGGTGTATCTCCCTCACTTCACCATTCTCCCTGACAAATTGAAGCTAAAATTAAGCCGAGATATTTTTTTTATTATTATTATTTTTTGCTCTTTCTACCCCTTTGTACTTCCCGGACACTGTGTTCCAACGTGATTCATGACAGCGCTAATAATGACAACATGGAGAGCAGTGACAAGTTAATAATATCCTTAGTGATCTGTCATGAGGGACTAATAATTCTTATCTCGTACAAAACACTCCCACTTTCTAGGACAAAAACACATGGCCTTTTCCTCAGCGCAGCACTCAGCTCCATCTCCTGAGTGATCATCTTTTATTTCTGGGGCTATTACACAAACAGCTGGAAAGAGACAGAGGGGAAGGTGAATGATCTTTCTAGTTTAGGCCATCATCGTCTCTGTGTGTCCCCATCTCTCTGTCCATCTGTCAAAGCTCCACTGAGAATTGAGGGCTACCTCTCCCAGTGGTCTCCTTACCTCTTCAGCACGTCATTGCTGCCGATGATACTAAAGCCATTGTTCAGTCTGAAGAGAGTCTTTCCTGCACCTGTTAGGAGAGAAGAGCAGATAGCGAAGGAAGACAGAAAACCATTCATTAGCCAGAGGCAGAGAGGCTTTACAGAAACACGACACTTTTCTCCTTGTTCGGTTTACCTTTGCTCACTGGATGAGATTCAGTGTTGGAAAAGAAAAGGAGAATGTAAATTGTGTGCAGCATACAACTGGTGGAGCTTTCCGTCCTGCTATTAATGATACACGAAGTCCAAAAAGTAGAGGACAGAGCACTTCAGCGGGAAAACTTGTGAGCTATAGGAGCATTTTAATGATCGTGAGTCGTATTGTTTGATATATTAATATCAGCAATGATTAAAAGAGAGGATTCAGATTTTAAAAAATGGCTAGCTCCCACTTACAGCAAGACTTGAAGGTTAGAATAATTTAACTAAAAACAGAGGGTGTGTTTTTGCCAGTGTTCAAAGGTTCGCTCGTTAAAAAGATACAAAGTTTTCTCTTTAAAAAAAAAAAAAAAAAAAAGAAAAATGTTCTTTGTTCAGAAATTTAAAACGTGAAGGTTCAACAAAGCTGGAACATTATAATCAATGAGTTTCCTTTGGCCATTGGAGCTTCGGTCAATTATTGATCATGCCTCTACCATATTTAAAACTGGCTTTCTTTTAACCATTCAAGGTCACAGTTTCAAGAACTGAATATAATTTGTTGTCTATCTTTTTATTCAGCTGACAGCCTAAAGTTATTGTTCAACAAAAACAAAAAAAAAACACAATCTGTCTGAAGATGAGCAGGAATTAAAAAAAATAATAAAACGCACAGTCTGTCTGTTAATGTTTCCAGTTACCTACACACTAAAAAATCAACTAAATGGCATTAAAAATATTACATCAGAACAATAAAATGTAGTAAAATATAAAAAAAACATTATGAAAAGTATGTTTAATACCTGCTTAAAGGTTGTGATTATTAAAAAGTACATTTAGTCTGACAAAAAAAAGCAAAGGAATCCATATTCTAATTTATAGAATATCAATGCATATACTGTCTGAAAGTGAAAAAAAAACTATTTGGCTACATGGATGTAAGTCATTTATTAATTTATACTAATCTAATAGCTAATTTTAATTTTAATTTTAATGTTAGCTAACTACACCTTAAAAGCAACAGTCTTTTAAAGGGAGTTTTATATAATGATGTTATTCATTAGCAAAGCATGTTGTGTTTAATTTAAACTACACTGCTCAAAAAAATAAAGGGAACACTCAAATAACACATCCTAGATCTGAATGAATGAAATATTCTCATTGAATACTTTGTTCTGTACAAAGTTGAATGTGCTGACAACAAAATCACACAAAAATCATCAATGGAAATCAAATTTATTAACCAATGGAGGCCTGGATTTGGAGCCACACACAAAATTAAAGTGAAATGTTCCCTTTATTTTTTTTAGCAGTATATTTAATCAAAACAAAACTAAAATGACTGCTTAAAGTTATTATTTACGTTACTCTGAGAAATAAGGCAGCAATATCTGCCCAAGCCTTTAGAAACAAGATACAATCAAGGCGAAGCAATCAGATGAGATTATCCTCCCCCAAAGGGAATTGAGGGATTTACTGTTGCTTAAGTGGATGTTTCTTGTCAGCTGGAGTGCGAATCAGAGCTCTAACCCAAATTGAATGTGCTTGTATTCAGTAGTTTTAAGAAAAGACATGTTGGTCTAGTATTCAACAATTGGACGTAGTTTAGTTTTGTGGACGGAATGCAATTTTTGAGAATCTTTTCTTGAGGTTTAGAAAACACTGATCAAAATAGTTGTCAGACACACATTTTACAGACCAAAGAAAATGATCTCATAATTAACAAAAAACAGAAGTTGACTGCCTCCATGACTCAGATGTGAAGAACTCTGAGTTGTTGTTGTTTTTTTTGTTTGTTTTTTTTACTAAAGAAAATGCCTTGACCTGAAAATACTAAATAGGATGCCACATCCTGACATTTTTGCTTGACTCCTGACGACAGAGATGTCCTCAAGTTATTCAGAAGTAAAACCCACTGAACAGCATCAGATGGCTACGTTACTTGCAGAGTTAAATGCGGGTATTCCACTAAGATTTTAATATAGATCAAAGACGATCGCAAAATTGGACTCAAGATATTTGTAGAAATCTTCAAAGAGTTTCTGCTACCCAATCAGATATTACTTTGCTTGAACAGCTTGCATGTCTTATACTGCTAACTAGGACGACAACTGATAGACTGCAAATAAATTCATATCTCAAGGTTAACAGGAACAGGAAGGTACCGGACTCACAGTTTATTGAAAATGGAAGAGAATAAATGTATTGTTCTGTTTGGACACCGCCGTCCTTACATTATAAGTTTTGGTTGTTTACAGTGTTTCTCTCTAGATCTGTCTGCCCTTACAGCTTCAGCAAGTAAAACTGGTAGCAAGTACATTTCTACAGGTCAGTCTGTGCCAGGTGACAAATTAATCAAAGTTGGTTTTACATTGAGCAATTTCTCCAACAAAAAAAGAATGCAAAGAAACATATAAAGTGCTTAACAAAGAATTGCAACCAGTTGATTTTTACACATTCTGTCAAGTTTCAACCACAACCTGCAATGTATTCAAATGGAACATAGGATTTCTTCTGCTCTTTTGAAATACTACTTCTCTTATACTACTTAACAGGAATTGTGCAGTTGGTGAATTTTGTAGAGAAGTAATTTATTTTATTTATTTTTTTGGTCACTGGTGGTAAATATACTATAAAGCAGACATTCATGACAAAAGAAAAATCAGATGTTTACTTCAAGGCACTTGATTACAAAATACGCGCTCATCTCTTAGCAACAGATTAACAACAAACATTGTTACTGTTCAAAAATCATAAGATTTCCTCTGCTTTTTTGAAGTACTAGTTCTCTTATACTACTTACAAGAATTGTGCATTTGATGAATTTGGCAGAAAAGTGAATTTTTCTCTCTTTTTTTTGTCATTGGTGGTAAATATAAAACAGACATTAAACACAAAAATAAAAATCAGATGTTTACTTCGTGGCCCTTGGTTACCAGAAATGCACGAGCTCCTAGCAACACATTAACAACAAATATTATTATAGTTCAGAAACATAAGATTTTCTCTGCTTTTTTGAAATACTTTTTATGTTTTACTGCTTAATAAGAACTGCACATTTGGTGAATTTGGTAGAGAGGCGAAAAAAATTGTCATTGGTGGAAAAGATATGATAACAGACATTCAACACAAAAATAAAGATCAGATGTTTGCTTTGTGGCGCTTGGTTACCAGAAACGCTCTCATCTCTTAGCAACAGATTAACAACAAACATTATTATTGTGCAAAAAACATAAGATTTATTCTGCTCTTTTTAAATACTACTTAACTTACTTGCTATTTAGCGAGAATTGTGCTGTTGATGAATTTAGCAGAAAACTGAAAATGTTTTTGTTTTTTGTCATTGGTGATGAAAATTTTATAAAACAGACATTAAACACAAAAATAAAAATCTGATGTTTACTTCGTGGCCCTTGGTTACCAGAAACGTGCTTGTCTCTTAGCAACAGATTAACAACAAATATTGTTATTGTTCAAAGAACATAAGATTTCCTCTGCTTTTTTGAAACACTATTTAACTAGAACTGTGTATTTGGCGAATTTGGCAGAAAAGTTTTTTTTGTTTTTTTTTTGTCATTGGTGGTAAATATATTATAACACAGATATTCAACATAAAAGTAAAAATCTGATTTATACTTTGTGGGAGTTCGTTACCAGAAAAAAAAAAGCTCATTTTTTAATACCAAAGTAATTATTATTTATAAAACATAAGCTCTTTTTAAATACTGCTTATCTGCTTAGACACAAAAAATTTTTACAGTTGGTAAATTTTGCAAAAGTAAAAATCTGATGTTTACTTTGTTGGTTACCAGAAACGCGCAAGCTCTGAGCAACAGATTAACATCAAACATCGTTATTGTTCAGAGAACGTAAGATTTCCTCTGCTCTTTTGAAAAACTGTTTGTCTTATCCTACTTAACTTGTGCATTTGGTGAATTTGGTAGAAAAGTGAAAAAAAAATTGTCATTGGTGGTGAATATATTATAAAACAGACATTCAACACAAAAATTAAAATAAGATGTTTACTTCATGGCACTTGGTTACTAAATTACTCGCAAGCTCTTAGCAACAGATTAAAATGTTAACCAGCAATTGGACACCATGTGTATTTCTCCACTGTACAGTTATCATGTTTCTGCCCATTATGAGCTTTTCATCTTTTCTTCTCTATAATAAAAAAAAAAACTATCAAAATAAGGACATATTTCAATGTTCTTCTTAGTCATTTTTCTCCTTCGTGTCTGTTTAACTGGCTGATAAGATTTTACGCCTCGTTTTCTACTATTATTTTAGGCTAAAAGAAACAGAAAATGGATTGAACCATTTAAGCAGGTTAATGAGCGGAAGGTATAGGCTCAATAAGATTAGAGGGAAAACAGACTTGCACAAAGCCCGAGGAGCACTCACAGTCAGTAACTGCCTGTGACAGGCTCTCCAATCCTCCACAGTAATAGAGGGGCATCTGGCCGGGCCTAGACAGCTTCTCCAGCAGCTGGGGTACCGCTGTGGCCTTTCTCTCTCCTTTGTCAAGTTTTTCCTTTGCATCCGTCTCCTGGCTATTTTTTTCCTCTTCTAAATCCACCAGGTCCAAATATTCTACAAAGGGGGATAAAAAGACAGAGGAAAGAGAAAGTTATAGATCAATTATGATGGAAGTTGCACTATTGCATTTATACACATCTTCTCTTGTTGGAGGACATAGTCATCGATTTTCAAGTTCTTTGAAACGTTTTGCATTTAACACGACAGTGAGAAGAAATGTAGTCCCAGAGAAAACTTTGTATTTGCTAATCTCACTAGTTTGAAATCCACACTGGGTCAAAAGATGTATAGAAATTTAAATGAACGTGTGCGTCCCCAATTGTATTTAGTTACATTGCTTATCAGAAATGCTAATATTTTAATTGGATTGGTTGATGTCCGGCCACAGAACCAGCCTTTAAGAATCAACCACATTTGACCCCTTGACCATTCCAGGAGCTAAGTTTTAGCTGCTTTATGCAGTTCAAAGGAGCTGTGTTAGATGTGTGGGATTATTGCCTCGTTGGAGTGTCTCATTGTGTTCAGGTTTCAACAGTTGGACCCTTAGATTAAAAAAAAAATGGTTATAATGTCTCGGATCAACAAAGGAATCAAGAAATTTGTCTCAGTTTCGAAAGCTAAACATTCAACAATGACTTGTCTATTTCTATATTCTCAGAGCGAAAAAGAGTCTGATTAGAGAAGCCAAGATGAGTGAATTAAACTAAAGAAAACTGTCCAGCATGGTGGTTAGAGCACCATGCTATGGGGCTTTTTCACTGCTAGTAATAGAGGCAGCAAAAAAGCCAGAAACAGTAAATGACTCTTCAATAAACCTGATTGAAAATTTGAGAAACTTTGCCTAAAACATCAGTCATTGCCCAGCTAATTTTAAAGAAAAGCCATATTCATGCCAAAAACTTGTTGACAGCAATAAAACAACTTCTAGAGGAAACTTATTCCAAATATTAGAGAAGATGTATTTTGTAAGATGTAATTTGTCTTAGTATGTATTCTGCATAATTTGGAAAAATATTCTTGCCTTAAGGTGATTAATATTATTCACTCCATCCCTAAAGCCATAAAGTTATCGATATTCATGCCAATGATCACTGTACGAAACATTCCACTTAGTAGAACACTAAATGTACAACAATATTGCTTATTCGATGTATTTGTGAGCTAGATGACTCTAATCTTCAGGACTTAGTAAGATTATTGAATGAAAGGTGAACAAATTTTTAAAAAACTAGTTTCAGTTTAGAGCTTTCTTCTATTTAAGCCTCTATTTTATAAAGTAGATTTTGCCTAATTAATTTAAAACAATTGTTATTACCTTTTACCATGCTTTCCTTTCCAGATTCAATCTCCAGTATCTTTTCAAAGCAGCTTCTTGCCTGAAACAGAGGAAAATCTCATAATTAAATACATTTTGTGCATTGCTGGCGTCCTCAAGACATCTCAGCAAGACTGACACAGAGTATGGAGGCAAAATAGTCACAATTATCTTCCAAATAGGTCTAATTTTTCACACTGTTAAAATTGGATATCAGCTTGTTTGGTAATGAAGGGCTAAAATGATTACAACAGAAAATGCCAGAGGAGATATTGAATAAATTAAAATCAGATAGAACTCAGATCACATGTACAATGTTTTCATTCTTGGGAAGTTTTATGAAAATGATTTTTACTTGAGGCTTCCAACGACTACAGCTTGGCCTTTTCTCTGGTATGTCTGGATGACATATATGTCTACTTAGAGCAACTATTAAAGTGACGGGATGTGACTGGATGTAATGAGAGATAATTATGCTCACCTCATTATAGTTCTTCAAGCCCAGGTATGCTTTCCCCATATGCACATAAGCCTTTATGCATCTTTCATTACACTGAGGTGGCAGAGAAAATTATCATTAGAGGTTATTCATCGGAAACATGTGAACAATTCACGTTTGAACACCAGTAGCTCTACCATAAAATAGCAATATGTCCACATTCAGATTTGACAATAAAAAGAATGGATTAATGTAACATATACTTAACTGTTTATTGGATTGAAAATGTTCTTGAAAAGTAGCATAGCAGTCAAGGTGGGTAACAAAACATTATGATTGGCAGATTCTTATAGAATCTGCCAATTCAATTTAGTTTTTTTTTTCATATAGCGCCAATTTACAACACATGTCATCTCAAGAAATTTACAAAAAAGTCATTTCAATTCAATCACACATATATTCACATTAATCATACTTATCAGACGGTGCATTAAGCTCAATTTGTTACTATAAATGGCTCAAAAAGGTTTTCTGTCTAAGGAAACCCAGCAGATTCCATTGAGTCTGCTGGGTTCGAGAAGCTGCATTCACTCCTTCTCGAATAAGAGTGCCAATCATATGTCATTTAACATTTTCTTTATTTGTTTAACATTATTAGTTCGCAGGTTTTGTATAAACAGGTATTAAAATACAAAAGTGAAAAGCCAAAGCATAACATTTTCTGAATTCCTTGCCATATTTTTTTACCTTCAAGGCCCACTCGCAGTCCATGATGGCTTCTTCATATCTTTCTAGCTTGATGTAGGCCTGGAGAAATCAAAACACTGAGAAGGCGGCAAATGAAAAACCAAAACGCACAAAAACAGAGACAGTCATTGTCGTCGCAGTGTTTGGTCAGAAACAAAGCATCATTTTCGAAGTTGTTGATCTTGAGAAGCTGCTTTGTTGTTAAAACATGCACTTTCGATGAAAATGTAAAATAGCAGAAGTTGAATAAGTTTCCTAACTATTTTTGTTCTTACTTTTGTTTCTTCTATTTTTTTTTTATCTTGTGTGGTGCCAAATTCCAGACATCAATGCATAAGAGTCAGGGGACATCCTGGACAGGTTGCCAATCCATCAAAGATACACAGATTCAAACCTAAGTGCAATTTGGAGATGCCAATCAACCTAATAAGACTATTTCTGGACTATGAAAGGAAGCCAGGAAAAAGAAATTAACCCCACGCAGAAATCCCACTGGTCGGAATTAACCATCTTGCTGCAATGTAACAGTATTAAGGTAACTTCATAATCCCACAGCTGGCTCTGATAACATAGGGAAAACAACTTTGGACATGCTCAGAAGACTTCTGTGACAAAATCCTGTGTTTGTGCTGCAGAGACAGAAGTCAGGTAGATTTATCCAAACACTGGGCCAACAACAGTGCCCCAGGTGGTTGGGTTAGAGAACGATCCTTATCTTTCTTGACATCTCCCGCAGGAGAGGAAATAAGAAAAGGTAGGAAGTTGAAATTACCCAGAACAATTATCAATGGGTTGTGTTAGCATATATGCAGAAGGTATATATTTTAAGGCTTAATACTTACTTGTGCTCTGTTGGTGTAGAGTGGCTGCATGTCCCTAAGTACAGCCAATCCATCACTGTAACACTTCACTGCAGTTTCATAATCTTCTTGGGCATAAGCTTCATTCCCCTTATCTTTGAGAGCTGCAATAATTCAAGCAGAGAAACATTAATAAAGACGTTAGAGTAAACTCAAAAGAGCGACAAGACTACACCAGATGTAAGGAGGACAAAAGCATACCAGTTGCCTCTTTTAGTTTAACCATTCTCTTTCTTCCCCTCTCTTCGGCGTCTCTTGACATAACCTTCATGAAATGTTCTTATTAGAAAGAGCAACATAAAAGACAATTCAAATATTAGATCGTTTTGTTCACGTTTATAGAAAAACCTGCAAAGGTGATAAATACAGCCAGCATACACAATTTAACTGAACCAAATCGAGTTATATGCTAAGGCTCTCGGTTGCTTTAAGAAAGAGTGAAAAGAACAGCTGGCGAACAAAGATATTCATTGTGTTTTTCACTTTAAACACATCAAGCTGTCATAAGGTATTTCTGCAAAGAAAAAGTTCAGATGTGATGTAAAAAAAAACTGCTGCGTTGTCTTTGCCGGCTCCAGTATAGAACCTGATTTTTTTCTTTCTTATCATGAATTCAGAGTACAGTGGGTTCACTCCTTAAATTACATTCATTGATGAGATTTCCTTTGCAAACTTCTGATGCAAAGTTAATTTAAGAGTGTTACCTCAGTGATTTTATTCATATATATATATATATA